CCATTTTGTGACTCCCTAATAAAATAATTCATTTAGGCAAAGATTGCCAGGGAGAAGGAAAAACACAGAGCAGATGCCGGCCGAAGGAGGAACTTGACAGCTGGGCATGTCTGAGCCCACTTCACAGACGTGACTACAGAGGCCCTGAGCAGCAGCACCTGTGCCCGCTGTGAAGTGCGCAGCACCAAGCGTGAGGCACTCCTGTCACAAAAAGTCGAAGCTAAATCTGATCAAGCCATTAGAGTTTACTTCCAGTTTACGGGAAATACAGGAAATAGCAGTACAATTTAAATGACACCGTTTAGAAGCAAACAGAAAAATCCAGAATGCGGAACCTTCTATATGTAACACAACAGGCCCACTTTCTTCCATTACTGACCGTGTATGTGTGTTCGTGTGTGTACGTGTGTGTAGAAGGTGGGACGGGAGCTGTTTTAGACTAAAAGGGATATTATTACCAATGACGAGAACAATATTTGGATCCTAGTTCAAGCCAAAAGTAAAAGGGCATTTTTAATTTAATCAGAAAAAAAAAATGTGACTAAAGACTTTAGTATTAGAGTATACTGAGAATAATCATAAATTTCATCAATTGGGATAAAGATATTGAGGTTGTGTAAGAAAGCATTCATAATTTTTAAATATGCAGATGAAATGCTATGAGCGGTTTGCTAATTATTATACTTTAAAATATTTCGGCAACCAGAAAAAGGGGATAAAAAAAGCAAGTATATACCCTAGAAGTTCTGGCATAGCAGGGTGGGGGTGGGGGGAGCAGGGGCAAGATATGTAACCCTAACAATATTTGTACTCCCATAATATGAAGGAATAAAAAAATAAATAAAAATAAATAAATAAATAAATAATAAAATCACATGTAATGTATACAAAAAAATAATAAAGTTATAAATATGTATTTGGAAAAAAAAAGCAAGTATAGCAAAATGTTGAAAATCATTGAATGTAGGTTTGTAAATACACGCGCATACATACACACACACATACACATATAGGGGTTCTTTATTAGAGTCTCTTTTTGTGTATGTCAAAAAAACTTTTTAAACAAACAGTTTCGTTCCAGAGCGTTCGTTCATCGGGCACCTGCTGAGACCCAGCAGCTGTGTTCAGGGCTCTGCTCTGTGCTCGTCACCCGCTGAATCTTCACGACAGCCCGTGGGGCAGGTGCTGTCGGTATCCCCACTTACCAGGCAAGAAAACCTGTGAAACAACCTCCCCCCTTTTGGGGTGCAGCAAAGGAGTCTGCCAATCACCCAGCATCTCAGCCAAGCACCAGAGGCCGGGCAGACGAAAGACGTCTACATTTTCCATTTCGCAAAACACTGTCGCAGATGAGCTGCAGCACACGGTGGGGGACGGTCCCCAAGCCCTGTGTGTGGCGGGGGGGACCTTGGTAAGGTGCGAGGAGAGAGAAAAGGGGGTGACAGGCAGGGGACGGAGGGTGAAAGAGGGCCAGGAGAGCCACTGAAAAGCAGTGAGGGGAGCAGGACGCGGGGACAGCCAGAGGAAAGGGTGAGGCGCCAACACATGGAGCCACGGGCGGGGCGGAGGGAACAGAGGACAAAGGGGAAGGAGCACGCTGGACCTGGACCCGGAGCGCCAGGCAAATGTCCTCCAGCCCCGGCCCGCCCTCCTCTCTGCCCCGATCCCTGATAACCAGGCAAAAGGGAGAAGGCCGCAGAGAAAAAGAGGGGACCAGACTGTCAAACACAGATGCGTTGCATGTAACCAAAGCGTGGTGACAGATGCGTGTCATGCGCTCCCTCCCTACGCTCCAGCCAGTCGCCATTCTTCCCGAGACCGTGACCTTCCAAGTCTGAACTCGGCTTCTCCGGACCGACCAGTGCCGGGCTCACAAATTAAGACAGGGAAAAGAAGAAATTGTTTATTTACATAATTTTTAATTTCATCAGCGTGACTGAGATGGAATTCACAGCCCATGGGCGCGCAGGGAGGCTGGCCTTGGGGAGGAAGGCTCCGGCCCGGGGCTGCGTAGACGCCTGCAGGCGCTCGGGTCAAAGGCGCCCAGCGCCAGGGGTTAGGCAAGGCTTTAATGCAAGCCATGGAAAACTCATGTTTGGGGCGCTGTCTCTGCGTCTGGGGGGGATGGTAGGCAGGAAAGGAGTTACAGAATGGAGACAGAGGAACAGAAAAAAACAAAGGTAGAAAGAATCACTGATGCAGTTCAGCAATTGGAATGAGAACCGAGGGTTTAGGCAGGTGGATCACGATCTTCCAGTTACGTCTCAACTAACGATAGGGAACCACTTACTCACATCACGATAAAAATCCCTTCCTTTCATAGCACGTCATTCACAGCGGCTAAAAAGCAGAAACAACCCAAACGTCCATCAATTGGTGAATGGATAAACCAAATGCAGCCCACCCGTGCACTGCAATGTTACTCAACCGTAATGAGGAGGGAATTTCGGAACTTAAAGGCGGGCTGAGAGAAGCCAAACACAAAAGGCCACTGAGTATGCGATTCCCTTTATGTGGAATGTCCTAGACGGGCAAATCCATAGCGAAAAAATTAGATTAGCGGTTGCCAGGGGCTGGGGAAGTGGGGAGCAGGGAGTGACAGCTAATGGGTACAGTGTTTCTTTTGGGGATAGTGAAAATGTTTTAAAACATTTTCTAAACATGTTCTAAAACACGGTGCAGATGGTTGCACAACTCTGAATACACTAAAAGTCACTCAACTGTTAACTTTTCAATGGGTGGATTTTATGCTATGTGAAATATATCTCAATAAAGCTGTGAAAAAAATAAATTTCAAAGGTTTTTACTATGCAATAAATAGATAAATAATTCCTTTTCCCCTTCCCTCCTAAGGATAAGGAGTTTTCTCTCTCTTCTTATCATGAGAGTTTTGTTTCCTGAGTTTTAGTACAAAATCAAAAGCAAAAGAGAGTATTTACGTAGATGAGAGTTCAACGAACACCGTGGAAATAATGAGAAGCAGTGATAACTAATGACATTGAAGCCAAATCCATTTGGCCAAAGCCAAATCCTTCTAAGCTAACTGTTCCCGGACCAAATCCTAAGGATCAGGCTGAGGCATCTCAGCGTGGGGAAGGCCACCGGCCACCCACAAACAGACTTCTGGGGAACTTTAATTTTCTTGGAATTTCCACACCTTTCCCTCGAGCACGTACGGGCCACACTTCCACTGCCTCTCCAAATCACTCCCACCACCTCGCCGCCGCCACACTTCATGGTCACCAAAAACGCTGCACCTGCAGAAGACCGCCCTCATAGACTGGCTAATGTCTGTAAACTATTAAATAATAAAAGTGGTTCACAAAACCCACAAAGACTTCGCACCAGTTTCCACTTCACTTGAATAAAAAGAGACCTTCTTAACTCTTTCTTCAAAAATCTATCCAGGTCTTACTGGGTGACCCTCTACCTTTTACACTCACTCTTTCCTTTCCGGTAGCCTTTGAAGCATCATCAGAGCAGAGAAGGAGAACTGGGGATCGGAACAAGTCACTTTGCCTCCCCAGTGTCTACACCTCCTCGTCCGCAAATGAAAGAGCAGCCCGGAACCACCTGGCGGAACACTGCATCTCCGAGGGGTATATCAATCGCGCACAAACACAGAACAACTGCACCCACAAACAGACTTCTTTAATTTTCTTGGAATTTTAATGAAGTAATTTTCTCCAGCAATAAAATAATTTAAAAACGGAGACACATAGCTCCCCAGCAAACCATTGCAGTAACTGTGGGAGGCAAACAGGGCGCAAAAAATTAAAAGGCACATCCTGTTTTCTTACATTCGGCGATGCTGATTTCATGTAAAAAAAAAACCCGAGAATACTATTTATCTCATCACGGTGGGCAGATTAACACCCTGGCTAGCTGGCAGACCAAATAATGAATCCTACTCTGGCTAAGAATAAAATATTTAAGAAATTTTTTAGAGAGCAGGAACTGTTTTCAGAGAAAGAATGGAAAGAAAGAGAGAGAGAGGGGAGGGAAGGAGGGAGGGGATGGGAGAGGAGGAGAGAGAGAAGGAAGGAAGGAAGGAAGGAAGGAAGGAAGGAAGGAAGGAAGGAAGGAAGGAAGGCAGGCAGGCAGGCAGGCAGGCAGGCAGGCAATAGCTCTTATCTAACCCTGCTGGCCATCAGCTCTAAACAAACCGCCAGATTTTCAGAAGGCAGATGTGAATATAATACCCTATGTCTTCATAGGCCTTGAAACCAAGGTAATTCCTATGCAATTCGAATTTCTTCAGGCACTAACTGCTGAGTGACTCCAAAGCACTCCTACACAACAACATGACTGCCAGCTCTGGCCAGAGCTGGGGCTCAGCCAGTGAGAGATCGGTCCCTGGCCCATGCGTACATATATAATGGGGCGGGGGTCCTTGTGACCTGCTGAGTGGACACTGTTATTCCTGGGGCTACAGGAGTAAGCATAACCGATGTGGTCCTGGCCAGAAAGAACGGCACGCAAAACCCACACGCCCGAGAAAACTGATGAGCTCAGGTGGTCCAGCCCCACGCCTTGGAAGGAAATAGGCAGCCATAGAGCGGGGTGACGTTTATGAAGGCACACGCCAGCTCCCCGTGGCTACGGGAGGCACAAGTGCAGTTTGGGAAACCGAGGCCCTCAGACAAGCTCAAGTCCTGAAGGAGGGCGGTGGGGAGACATCTGCTATTAAGGGGGGGTCCACAGAGAGGGAGCTGCTTTTGCTTACCGAGCACCCAGTCCCTTGACTGGGGCAACCCCCTGGGCCACCGTAAGACTCAGGGTCACACCAGTCTGCCTCCCGGCAGCTCACTCATAAGACACATCACTAGCACTATGGGTCACCACTGGCAACCCCATCCATGACACGAGATGGCCTTCGTTCCCAGCGGGGGTTATAAATGGGTATGAAGCCTTAGGGGCTGCATTTATGCATTGCTGTCGCACCGCCCGATTTCATCACTGAGATTACAGCACGCGCAAAATGTGCCAGCGGGACTTACCGATTTTCTGGTTGAAAATCTTGTCAAAGGTTATTTCATTTCTCTCCTCGAGGTATTTCTGCATCACGCTCCGGATGCTGAAAGGGAAGAGTCACACGTGTTTAACAGCACGGCCTGCGTTGCGACAGACTGTCCCCCCAGGATGAAGAAAGATACAGATGCTTGACCCAGGGACACTGACTCTGCGAGGGGCATGCCCTTGGCTGGCACCTGCGGCCACATGAAACGGCGGACCAGGCCAGCAGCTGGGAACGTCCCGGCACTGGGCGCTTTGCTCGCCCGCACCGCGGGGCCAGCCCGGCGTGGAGAGACCCGACGACAGAGTGACTAAGGACTCTGGAAACCCACCTTCAATACGGTCCCTCTCCCAAACATAAACACGCCACACACCCCGCACACGCTGCATACATACACACACACGTCTCCCACACACGCGACCGATTTCGCTGATCAATCAATACACTTCCTTCTAAAGCTACCGTAAAAGTTCCCTAGATATATGATTAATATTCAAAAAATCATATTTCTATACGCCTATAATAAACAATGAGAAAGCATAATTAGAAGGCAGACTTCACTTGCAATAAAATAAAATAAAAAAAAAAGACATCAAATACCTTGAAATTGTTCTTCCAAATTACGGGCAAGAACTTTACGGGGAAAATTACAAATTGTACTGAGAGACATTAACAAGATCTAAAGAAATGGAAAGATACACCACAGTTACAGACAGAAAGATTTGATATTGTAAAAATTGAAAGTTTACCCCAATTTATCTACAAAATCAATGTGATTACCATCAATTTCCCAACAGAGTTTTTCACAGAACATAGGAACAGGAAAGCTCTTTCTAACATTTATACAAAACAGCCAGACATGGTGGCTGGCTCCTGAAATCCCAGCTCCTCGGGAGGCTGAGGCAGGAGGATCGCTTGAGCCCAGGAGTTCAAGGCTGCAGTAAGCTATGTTCATTCTGCTACATTCTACCCTGGGTGACAGGGCAAGACCCTATCTCTAAATAAATACATAAATAAATAAAAATAGGATTTATACAAAACACCACCAGATCAAGAATAGCCAAGACACTTATGAAGAAAGAGACCAAAGATACAGGGGCTTGTTATGAAGCTAAAATAATTAAGATACGATAAACAAACCTATCAAGCAAATGGAATAGCACACAAACAGTCACATACAGATGGAACTCTGAATTACAACACAAATAGCAAGTCAGAAAAATGGGGAAGGATGGATTATTCAATAAGTGAACCCCCAAAAGTGATTACCTAAATGGAAAAAAATGAAAATTGAATCTCTATCATTGACTGATGGTAAAAGTGAACATTTAGCATTATCTTTCTTTTTATAAGTTATAACTTATATGTAATTAAATGCATATTTTAAGTGTAACATTAGATGAGTTTTTGACCAATGTATACAGCCATTAACTACTATCCTAATCAAAATACAGAATATTTCTATCACCCCAAAAAGTACCCCTTTACAATCAATCCCTCCATAGTCTAGAATCCAAGTAACTATTGATTTGCTTTTGTTAACAGAGATTGCATGCCCCAGTTCTAGAATTTTACATAAATAAAATGATACGATATGTTGTCTATCGTGTCTGGCTTTTTTCACTTGACATAAGACAGCCTCATCCATATTGGTATGTGCAGAAGAATTTAGTTCGTTTCTATTGCCAAATAGTACGCCATGTGTGCCTATCCCACAATTTGTTTACCCATCCATCTGTGGATAGGCATTTGGGGTGCATCCAGTTTGGAGCTATTATGAATAAAGGAGCTATAAATATCCATGTATTAGTCTTTTATGAGCGTGTGTTTTCATTTTTCACGGACAAACACCAAGAAATGAAATTGTTGGTCATAGGGTAAACTGTAACATATGTGGAAAACTTCTGAACTATATTCCAAAGTGGTTGTACCATTCTACATCCCCACCAGTTCCAGCTGCTCCACATCCTTGTTAACACTTGTGTTGTAAGACTTTTTAGGTTTTAGCCACTCCCCTGGGTGTGTGCTGGTATCTTATTCTAATTTGTATTTTAGTTTCCATTTCCCTAATGAACATGTTGAGCATGTTTGCACAGGACTGTTAGAATTTCAATGTCTTCTTTTGTGAAGTTTGTAGACAAATCTTTTGCCTATCTTTTAATCGAGTGGTTTGTCTTCTTACTACTCAGTTGTGAACTCCTTTTTTTTTTTTTTAGCCTGGAAATAAGTCCTATATCAGATTTATGTGATGAAAATATTTTCTCCCAGTTGGCACCTTGACTCTTCATTTTCTTCATGGGTCCATTCTAAGAGCAGACGTATTTAATTGATGAGTTCCGATTTATTGATATTTCTGTGATGAACAGTTTGTACTAAGAAATCTTTCACATGCCAAGGTAAGGAAGATTTTAATCTATATTTCCTGTAGAAGTGTTAAAGTTTTAGCTTTTGTGCTTAGTTAGGTCCAATATCCATTTCAGGTTAATTTCTGTGTATAGTAAAAGGTAGGAATCAAAGTTCTTTTTTTTCCTTATAACACCTATTTTAGTGCCACCTGTTGAAACATTGAGTTATCCTGGCTCCTTTGTTGATTCAATATTAAATACGTGTAGGTCTATCTTTGCACCATCCTATTGCATTAATCTATATGTCTGTCTGTACACGAATACTGTGTTGTCTTGGCTGCTCCTTTACTAACTTAAGAATTTAGATCAATGAATTTAAACATTTCTAATGTAACCATTTAAAGTCATAAAATTCCCTCTAGGGATGGATTTAACTGCATCTCACAGATAATATCGATATGTTCTATTTTCATTCAATTCTAATTATTTTCTAATTTCCCTTGAGATTCCTTCCTTGACCTAGGAGTTATTTAGAACTGTGTTGCTTCATTTCTAAATATTCAGAGATTTCCAGTTATTTTCCTGTTATTAAATTTTAGTTTAATTCCTTGGTGGTCAGAGAACATACTTTGAATGATTCAGTTAAGATTCACTGATGTTTGTTTTACTGCCTAGAAAATGATCTATCTTGCTGAGTATTTTATGTGCATTTAAATAGAATATATATGTAGCTATTGGACAGACTGATCTATAAATGTCAACTGGATCAAGTTGGTCAGCAGTGCTCCTTAGATTTTCTACACCCTTACTGATTTTCTGTCTACTTTTTCTATTTGGATTATTTCCTGTATGAAGCTATTATAAATAATGCTTTTATGAACATTCACCTATAAGTCTCTGTGGAGATATTTCTCATAGATAGATACGTGTAGGCGAATTACCTAGATCATATGGGAAATATGTTTTAAAGTACTTTTTGAAGAAACTACCAAACTACTTTCCATTTTGGCTATGCCATTTCACATTCCTATCAGCAATATAGAAATAAGAATTCTCATTTCTCTATGTCCCTGAACACACTCATTTTCTGACTTTTGTTTTAGCCATTCTAGTGGATGTGAACTAGCATCTCATTGTGGTTTGAATTTCCATTTCACTAATGAGTAGTGATACTAAGCATTTTTTTCATGTGCTTATTAGCCATTCATGTCTCTTCTTTGGTGCAATGTCTATTCAAATATTTTGCCTGTTCTGAGGAGTGGTATCCTAATATTCAATTGTAGAAGTTCTTTATATACTCTGCATACAAGTTATTTATCATATATGTGATTTTCAAATATTTCTCAGAGTCTATAATTTATCTTTGCACCTGCTTAGTGCTGTCTGTAAAGGGCAAAAACTTCTAAATTTTAGTTAAACCCAATATATAAACATTTTTCTTTTATAGATTGTGTTTTTGGTGTCACGTCTGAGAAAACTTTGCTTTGTTTGCTTTTTTAAAAAAATTACTCCATGGGGATGCAATCAGCGAAACCTTGGGTATGGGAAACTATACAACAAATGACCCAATTTCTTTAACAAAAAAAATTGCAAGAGGAAATAATGATGACAGAGGCACATGTAGGTCAAAAAAAAAAAAAAAAACCTTAAAAGAATTAACAATAAGACATAATACATGGACCTTATATAAAACTCAATTTGAGTAAAAAAAATTATTTTAGAAAATTGGAGAAATGTGAATATAGATTAAACATTCAATGGTAATAAGGAAGACTTTTTAAGCAGTGGCAACATATGGTGTTTATGCTTTTGTATTTTAAAAGAGTTCTTATCTTTTACAAATACATACAGAAATATTTATAGATGAAATGATATATCATGTCTAGATATATTTCAAAATAATATAGGTATAAGTGAAACAGGAGGTATAGGTGAAACAAGACAGGCTATGTATTAATAACTCATGAAGCTGCGTGATAGCTATTAATACATCAGTTTCATATTGTTATTCTCTCCTGAACGTGTTTGAAATTTTCATTACAGAAAGCTATGAAGAATTAAATTCTGGCCTTCAAACTCCAGGAATACAACTTTTACATTCCTCCTCATGAAAATAAAGCCCATATGTACCATATATCTATTGGTGGGAGGCCTAATAGATTTTATAAAATTTAATACCAACTAGTCGGAGATATGCCAACCCTACTAGGTTGTACTTCAACACCTGTAGTAGAGAAACTACAGTATGTATGACAAGCAAGATACCTCCCATTATTAAAAGCCTCCATATTCGTCTATATGGTGTTTAGTTGTGCTTTATTCCAATGTCCAAAATAAAATGAATTTAAACAGATATTTTAAATAATATGTAATATACTGCCTAAAAAGACCAGTAGCACATAATAAGATAGTTGTGAAGATCGAGCAAGATGGTAAGAGAGTGCTGTTTAAACTGTAACCAGCTTGCAAAAAAAGAACTATTACCATTATTGGCCATCCAGAAACCCAAAAGGCAGATTTTTTTTTAAAGATAAGACAACCAAGCAGTCATACCAAGATTTAACCCCCACAAAAGAAGCTACTTTTTTTCACATGTAGTTATGAAATATTTTCTACAAACTATTCATCAAGCACCCAGAATAAAGCTACATTATCCAAAGGCCCAATAAAAAGTTTACCACTAGGTTTAAAACCACAAAACTTCACCAGACAGAT